ATATATATATTTATTATGTACATTTCTATAAATATATATATATATAGTACATTTATGTACTTAACCACATTCTGAACCATACGCCCGTTGTCGCGTAGATATAGTACAAATAGAAAATGGAAATACACAGGGCGCAGATGATGAAGTCAATGAAGACAGAGAGGGCACAGGTGCCCATTGTAAACAATGGTATGGCCTGGAGGCGTCCGTGTATAAATTGCGCATGATATGGCATGCCCAATAGCGTTACCGCAAGTAGGAGGACAAAGAAGACCAGGCAATAGACCGGATCACGCAAGAAGATCATCAGGAATAGTAACACAATGATGGCGACTATCATGAAGAGCGTTAGGCAGCCAGTGAGCAGGCCGCCCGGCAGCCAGGTCTGCGGACAGAGCGCGCCCATGACGTGAAAGAGTGCAACCAAAACGAACGATATGGCCATGCCAGTCAGCAGGACCTTCCAGTCGTACAGATCCATTGCATACGCACTGGTCAATGTTATCGTGAGCACAATCAGGATGACGAGTATCCAGTTGAGCGGATAGATGCGCTGCGTCTTCGGACAGCACTGCAGTATTATCATCAGGACGAACCCCAATATGAGCCACACATAGAAGGGCACCGGCACCTCGGCGCGCAGATTGATTTGCAAGGTCGATATGACCAGACAGGTGGTGCAGTAGATGAGTATGAAGAAGAGTGCCCACAGATATACGAAACGTATGAATCTTTGATATAATTCTTCCGGTATAATGACGATGATCCGGTTGCCTTCGCCACGTGCATTATCCGGCGGATAGCCACGTGCGAATACAATCTGCGGCGGTGGCGGAGGCTGGTTTTGCTGTTGCTGCTGCTGCTGTTGCGGCGACTGTTGCTGCTGCAGTTGCTGCAGCTGACGCTGCAATACCTGTATCCGTTGCTGCTGCTCCTGTTGCTGCTGTTGGCGCTGCAGTTGCTCCAGCTGGCGCATCTGCTCCGCCCGCTGCGAGCCCTGTATCGTTTGCCGATGAGTCGGCGGCATTTTGTCATCAGTTTAACCTATAAATTTATTACGCAACATTCCAATAGTTGTTAAAATGACAATGAAGGCAAATCTGTCTTGATTATAATTATCGTTTTACTATGCTTTGCCTTAGGCTTGATTAATATTCATGTTTTATTATTTATTATTACAATTATATATTTCAAATAATTAAATGGCATATTTCTTATGTTATACATATTACATTTTATTTATACATTTTATTATACATTTTTGGACGACTCTATTCTTAATTTTTGTATAAAATGGCATTACGAAAAACAAAAATATATTATGTATTAAAATATAAAAAATGTGCATTAATTTATTAAAATGTGTATACTTTTTTTTTTTAATATTCAGATATATTTTCTTAAGTATAAAAATATAATGCTAAAAGTAATTTGGTAACTATTCAAATATTCATTTTATTAAAGGTAAAAACATATATTTATCAGCAAATTATTTTTTTTTCTCTTTAAATACTTTATGGTATATTAAGTATAATAAGTATATAAGAAA